CTATTTAAATCACCTTGTTGATCTTACTTCCATTTCGAGTGGAATTGTTGGATGAAGAGATTGGAAGGTCGGTTCCACCAAAAGACGAGGACGGATATCTCTTGACCAGTTGTCGATCGGCTTTACGGGAACATTCTTTTTGACACTGTCTCCGAGGCAATCTCCATCTATTCCGGTGTGAAAATGTGCTCATCTTTCGTCCATCGTATGACGAGCATCATCCCTGAAACTATATTCAACATAACGAGCCATCCCTAAATTATGTTTATTTACTTCATATCTAATCTCTTTGATCAGGTATAAAGTGATTTGATTAGCTCAAGTCATATGTCAACCTCGAGGCATGTGAATGTGCCTTTCTGTGCATGTATATGTGCCTGCATGTGCTCGCATATGCACAAAGCATTACTTTGAGCAGTACTGGCTCAAGGTAATTGGAACAGAAAAAAAATCTAGAGCCAATTATTGTCAAGAAATATGAGTATTCTTAAATCGTCAGCTTGCATATGATTATAAAGAGGACAACCTTCTGATTCTGATGATGCTCTTCATACGACGAACGAAAGCTTAGCACGTTTCACCGGAATTGAAGGAGATTGCCTCGGAAACAGCATCAACAAGAATGTTCCATTAAAGTCTTTTGTTCAGCTCGACCTTCGAATCTGTTCCCCAAACACTTTCACTCGAAATGGACGTATGAAAGAAGGAATCTTTCGAAACCCAACTCTTCTTGGCATACATTTCATTGAACAACAAGAAGGCCTAGTGTAAAGTAACCCCACTGATGTGTGACGTTATGCATAGAACCGTATTTTTTTTAAAGTCAAGAAAACACATTGTAAGATAAGCATGTCCATCTTTTAAGGTGGTAAATAATATAATCATCATTGGCAGGGCTAAATAAGAAGCTTGTTCGAGGTTTTGGGTGTGGCGGGTTGTGACTAGCCGAGGGGTTGAATTGTCTGCTGTTGGATCCCCTTTGAAGGGGCGGATCAGACGGATCCTGGCAGACGATAATAGCATAACGAACGCGGAGACAAACTAAGAGAACAGGAAAACGGGTGTAGGAGAACAGGCAGCCATGGGGCAGAAGAGCGAGTCCTGGCGATTGGCGAAGCCGAAATGGTGCCGGCCACGAGAGCCATGACTACGCCGGACTCGGCGGCTGGGATGGATGCAGAAAAGTCGGAGGGAAACATGAAAGCGGAGCGAATGGGATACTATCTGCGGGTGGAGGGAGGGGGTCAGAAAGAGCATAACTAATTGTGCTGAAATTGTGCGTGAAATGCTGGAGGCAACGGCAGACGAGGCGTTGAAGACCTCCGGTCTCTGCTTTCCGAGACTGGGTTAGGCCACGACGGCGATAGAAACGAGCACAACAAAGCCGCTGGCAAGTACAGTCGACGATTCTGGCCTCCCGACAGAACAGTTCCCATGGAAATGGGGAGTGTCGAGACTCTTGTCCGATTCGGCCGGATGGGATCAAACGGAAACCGGCCAATGGCTGGCTTGGCTAGCTCCAAAAGAGGAGTGGTGCAGGTTGGTTGGGCAGTTGACAAACGAGGCACACAGCTAAGGGAGTGTATTCATAGGTGGGCTGCATGCATATATTCTCATATACACATGCAAAATAACTAACTATGCAGCTTTGAGTAGATACACGAAAATAGTTCGAGTGTAATCCGGTCCGTAAGTGAATATTATATACCCATTCATCCTTGTCCCTCAACGGTCCATCAGCCGAGCATCTTCAGCATGGACCGGGAGGTGGAGATGGACAATCCTAATGCTGATAAAATAGGCGAAATCAGAAGACAAAACTGCCGGTAAGCAGAGGCTGGTGGAAGAAAGAAGAAGAAGAAAAAGAAGAAAAAAAAGAAGAAAAAAAAGAAGAAGAAGATACGATACGAGCTCTTCTCTACTCCACTCGGCTAAGCATTGGTGTACAGTGAGCCGATGAACTGAAGCATTGTGCCCTCCTCGGCCAACTTGCCTCTCGACTCTTCGTCAATACGGCGTCACGGCCCACTTTTACATTCACACAAACACCCCACATGACCAGCAGTTTCGACTATATGCTCTAATGATCTAAACTAATGGATTGCCTCAGCAACCGGTTAAGAAAGGTTGACCTTTAGCAACATATACGTGATTGTAAGGAGGTGTGTGTATGTGTGAGTATATGTGTGTGTGTGTGTGTGTGAAATGTGTGCTATGATGAAGTGAAAAATTCTCCCAGACCTTGATCCAAAAGTGGCTAAATGGCGCAAAAGCGAACGAAAACTGTGAAATTGACAGCTACTTGTGCAGGAAAAGTAGCCGCGAGAGCAGATTCAAACGGTCTGAGGCCTAGCAACTGTTGGCGCTTGGAGGCGAAAACGAGACAACAGAGCTAAATGAGCGTGTGCATACGTGTCTATGGTGGTGGATTTGGCGAGGGGATTGATAGGCTTGTTGGTAGACTTTTAGTGTGGTGGGTTTTCAGGAGAGAGGTAGCACCGTTTGTGGGGAGGATAACAGTAACTGCGCAGCCGAGTGAAAGACTGGACAGGTTTGGGATCACAATTCGATAGTGAACTCTGCAGAAGTCTCGTCATGGACGGTGTCTTCAAAGTCGACTTGTCCTGCTGGCTTGAAAGGCTGAAAGTGCACAAAAAAATAATGAGACATATCAAAATGGAGGCGGGCGGGGGGGTGGGGATGGGATGAGGAAGATAAAAATGGTCGTATTCTGGCT